CCCTTTCCTCACTTGGCCCACAATCCAAAGCCCAAACCAAAAGCAAAAAAAGCCCAATATGGCCCAATATCCAAATTGGGCCCAAAACCCATCATGGGCATAACTCAAGAAGGCCTAATTCCATAAAAGGCCTAAAATTTCCATTGGTCAACTCTGGTCACACTTCTGGTCAATGGTCAAAGGTCAAAAAGTCAACAAAATCAAAGAAGCCTAAACAGATTGAGTACGCCTTGCGTACTCAGTTGGTATGCCCAACGTACTTCGACTTTGACTAAATCATGGGGATTAACTCAGTACACGCTGCGTATTAAGAGGTACTCCCCGCGTACGCTGCCAACTCTTAAACTATTTAGAAAAGGTCTTAAACCTTTAAGCCAAAACGTCCAATGCTCAGAACTAGTTCAAAATCATGCCTTAATCCATAAAGTCATTAACTTTGAGCTTTTTCATGGCTCAATGGGTCCCAAATCCAAGCCCTAGCTTCATAACTTCCACAAAAGAGCTAAATATACATGCATGGGTAGATATCAACCATCAAGATTACCTGTTTATGCATTTGGGACACCTTAAACGTCCAGATCTAGTGACCAATCTCCCGGGACAAACTCATCCTCATAAATACAACCCAAAAAAAGACCAAAATGTGCCATAAAACACCCCAAACTAGATCTACCAAAATAGATGTCAAGATTGGAGCCTTTTACCTTTAATAGGTTGCAAATGTTGAGTAACTTCTGGATCTCCAAGCTCCACTCCAAGTGATGATTATTCAACAACATTCAATCTCTTCAAAATGTTCAAGAAGACACCAAGATTCCTCACAAAAGCTTAAGGATTCCAAGATGGTGGCTAAGGGGGTCGAGATTAGGTTTTAGGAGGTATGAAGGCTGATAAGAGGCAAGACCCCAAGACATACTGAGCTTAAATAGGGGCAAGACCCTAAATATTAGGGTTTCAAGCTGAAGGGAGTACGTCCCGCGTACTCCTGAGTACGCCCAGTGTACTCAAATGTCACCCGCGATCACTTCCTTCACTACGCGCTGTGTACTCAATGAGTACGCCTCGCGTACTAGACCATGCTTCAAAACACTTCAACTTAAATTGACCATAACTCCTTCGTTCTAAATCCATTTTTGATGTTCTTTATATCCATGAATAGGTAACGAGAAGCTCTAAATTTATATCAACTCATCCTCATCTTAAGACTTCCCGAACAAAAACCCAAAAGCAAGAACAGGTGTATCTTGTCAACAATCCATTGTTGTTTCTTGAATCTTCTCCTTGATTGTCTTGAAAAGCAAGGGTCACAAGTGTCACCCCTCTAATGCGTCAAACTCAATACCCTAGAATCAGAAGATAGAGGAGAGGGATGGAGAAATTCGGCCATAAGCCTCTTGGGAAGAGCATGAATGAAATTTGCATTCATTGGGGGTCCTATTTATAGTGTTGGTGGTACAATGACAACCTTATATTTGAATAATAAAATAATACTATTTTATCTTTTCAAATATAGTAATCCTTATCAGTTTTTCAAGCCTTCGAAATTCCTCCAAAAGTCCTTAAAATCGTCCACCACCCTGTATGGGTTCTAGAATTATTTCCTAGCTCAATTATGAATAATTACAATTCAATCATTGGACCTTTAATTAATTCTAATTAATCCAGAAATTAATTCCAATTAATTTTGATTAATTCTAGATTAATTTCTATTGATTTCATATTAATTTATTAATCATATAATAGAAAAACAAATCAATTATCCTCTCTCCTAAAGTAATTTCTAGTTATTTCTAGCTATTGAGGGTAGCCCAAAAATGACTTTGCTTTTATTCAGATAGTTACACCAATTTAGTTATGACCTTAGACACTTAATCCAACAACAAGTTAGTATTGGAGCCATGCTATGAGTAAAATGAATAAAGAGGCCGATGTTTAGACTCATAGTGTAGACTGGCTTAATTAGGTGCTTTAGACTCTTAAGGGGGTGAGGGTGTATGATGAAAGTTATATGTTATTTGCTATATGAATTTAGGACTCTGATTCATTTCGATATTAAAAAATCTTCTATTTATGCTCGTGGATCTTATAATCATTAATATCGTTCGATGTTAGGGGAGTTGCTCGTTGCCCATAAGCTCAATTACCACAAAACATTAGTAGTTCGAATATTGTTGTGCACATCATAGAAATGGAAGATCATGTTAGGGTGATGCATGAACTGCACGGATTCAGCAACGTTTCGGGAAATTGGCTTATCGTTTGTCGGCATTGGACAAGGAAGAGAACCTTTATAGAGTCTAAGGGTTCTAGTAGGGTATGGAATTTGGAAACCAAAATAGGTGTGCAAGCCTCTAACCTAGATCAAGGAGACAGGTGACTTCATGGTAATTCCAGAAGCAAATATATAGGTGTGAATGTTAGTAGTGGGCTCGTACTATCATAAGCACAAGATATATATTTTGGACTGAAGGAACCACGAGGAAACTCGAAGACCTGGTGGACGATACTTAGAGGTGGAATAGATGTTTGAATGGTAGACCTTTTGTGTCATTTCCTTCTATGCTTGTTATGTTTTAGGCATTGATATAGCGGTAGGGAATTTTGTTTCCGTTTGAGAAAAGTTTAATGGGTGTTCCATTATGTTTGGGGCACATACTTTTCATTTGACCGGATTACGACCAAGAGCAATTTGTTCGATGTTGTCATTGGTATGGATTGGCTTTCCGCAAATTAGCCCGAAGTTGTATCCGCTAAAGTGTGTGCGTATTCTGCTTGTCGAGGGAGGTTATGTCTACATTCATAGGGAGAAAAGTCTAGGGTCTACTCCCATTATTTCAGTGTTAAAATAATGCAAGTTTTATAGCAAACATTTGCATCGTCTTCTTGGATCATGTAGTGGGGAGCTCAAGGAAGACAATGGGTCACTCTGATATGGAGCTTATTAGGAAATATAGTGAAGTTTTTCCCTGATGAGTTGTCGGGTGTATAAACACCACGCTAGGTAAAGTTTCAGTTTGACCTTATTCCTGGTGTAGCTCCTAAAGCCAAAGTACCTTTTAGGTTGGCTCCTTTGGAATTAAAGGAGATTTTGTCGCTAATTCAAGGTTGATTGAGTGCGAGTTTATTTGATAGAGTTCTTCGTCTTAGGGAGCATTAGTCCATTTCCTTAAAAAGAAATATAATACACGCGGTTGGGTATCGACTATTGAAGGTTGAACAAGATCAATATGAAAGTGAGTAAGCATCTACATCCTATTCTGGTTTGGAGATTGAGATGATGCAATGAGGGAAGGTGACTGGGTATGCTTTCTAATAGACAAATAGTGTCATGGTGAATCACTCGGTATATGAGTAGGATTCGATGGAAGTGGTTTTTACTCTTAAGCTATGGCGTTATTATTTGCATGGTATGAGGTGTACACAAATCATAAGATCTTAATACACATTAAGAGTGAAAAGGATCTTAATGCCATGTAGCAACGTTAGATTGAGCTGCTTGAAGATTATGTTCGCAAGATAACTTACCACCATGGTAAGGCGAATGTGGGAGTTGATGTGGTTATTCTCAAAGAACCCGAATCCTTATACCATCTCAAATATAAGAGTTTGGTGGTTGTTCATGGTATTTTTTAGTAGATCCGACCCGCTCGGGTCGAGGGTTTGAGAGAAGACTCGATGAATGATGAAGTGATGGTAAAACAATATGTTATTAGGTAGATGGGTAGCTGAGGACTTAAGATATTTTGGCTCGACTTTGGGTCCTTATGGTCGGTAGTGTTTATGACACACTGTTATGACACATGCACATGTCAAAATTTTTGGCTTGCCCAAGAACTGCTATGTTGTTTTATGACTTGAAATTTAATTATTGGTGGCCAGAAATGAAATGGGACATAATGAAGTATGTGTTAGAGTATGTGATGTGTTCACAAGACAAGTCATAACATCAGGAACCGTACGATAGTTTTCATCTATTGGCAGTGAATTAAAGGATGTTCCCTACCATGAGGAGAACACGTGGGATGCAAAATCTACTAGAGGTGTTTTCTATGAGAACTCACTAAAGTCATGAAAACCACGTCTCGTTAAAAAAGAGTAATCAAAATGGCTAAGTAAGTATACAAGGCTGGCATGTGAAGTGAGAATCTTGATCAAGTGTGGAGCATAAATCGCTTATGTGATTTGAATAAGATGATACAGTGACTTAGAGATTTTAAGTACGAAATATTTTTAAGGAGGAGAGAATTGTAACAATCCAAAAATCATTCCATTAACGATGTTAGTTTTCCGTTACACGAATATTAGTTAATGTGATGTTATTTTGACTCTAAGATTATAAAATGAAAGAAATTAAATAAATATGATTTTTGATCCATATTTAAAATGTGTACAATATAATGAACTTGATTTGAAGGAATATAGGATAAATGAACTCATTGAAAGGTATAAATGAATTAGACATGCTGCAATGTTATTAAAAGAAACTCAAATTGTGAAGAAATATAGGGTTGGGGTAAAAAGGGTAAAAAATCAAAATATGAGGGGCCAATTGGTGAAATTCGGCTTCGAAACTCCCTACCCATTTCGATCAAAATGATTCTTGGATTTCTATTCATTTTCGACGTTTGGGCTATTAGGTGTGACTTGAAGACCTCTTGGTCGTTTCTTGTTGGGCTGCTACATACATCAACGATATATATATATATATATATATATATATATATATATATATATATATATATATATATATATATATATATATATAGGAATGATCATTTGAGAACTCATAGTTTTCGGAGAACCCGAGAACCAAACAAGAGTCGTTTGATCAAAATAATAGAAGGTCAAGATCATTTGTGACATATTTGTAAATAATTGGAAAAAAAATACGACGGGGGTATGCCATTAAAAGTTAATCGGGGACAATTTTGGAATAAAATAATTGATAATTATTTCCCCAAATTAAATCCCTCATTCATGTCTCTCTCTCTCTGTCAAACGCGATCTGCCCTCCTCCTCCCCATGAACTTCTTCTCTCCCTCTCGTTCACTTTTTCTAACGTAACCTAAAATCCGCCATTGCTGATCGATGCCGTTGCTGCGATGGTCCTGATCATCGTGTTTCTCACATTGACGACAACTCCTTCTTTCCTCTTGTCGTCGCATCGCCTCCCGATGTCGTCTCCTCGGTCGTGTTCTTCATCGACGTCTCAAGTCCGCCTCCAGATCTGGATCCACAATCAATCCACAATCGAAAGCAGTGGTAATGTGGATTTCTCTATCAGAACTTCTGAGTTCAGATTTACAAATAAATGATGTCGATTACATATTTGCTTGCAACTGGATCGTCTAGATGAGTTTAACCAGATTCAAGCTGTCGGAGGACGATTCATACACTGGGAAGGTGCTACACCTCTCGAAGTTCTGGCCATGTCACGGTCGAGTCACATCTCCGCCTCATCTCCGGCTATCGATTCGGTACTACACCTCATCTCTCGTTCTATCTTTCAGATTTGGAATTGTGTTTTAGCATTAGGGCTAGATATGTTAACATCAAAGGTATATCTGTTTACGTTTTTGATATTGATTTTGTATCTTTTCTCAGTTTTTTTTCTTTTTCAAACCTCATTCTCAATCAACTCGATTCCCAACACTTTGATAAAGCAACCTAAGCTGCGTGTTCCATTTCTCCACATCAGTGTATTTCTTCATTCCCTTTGACCTGCCACCATTCCAATCCCAGAGTCAAACACAGGAATGGAATCACAAATAGTAACTATTGGTATAGATATAAAATTTAACCTGTCACCACGCTCCAACAGCCTGTTAACTTGATCGTTGTGACCCTGCACTTTTGTTGTCCAATATTAGCGACACTAAAAGCTGTTCCACATCAGCCTCTAGCACATTCAGCTCCTGAAACACACACACACATCCATGTATGTATATTATCTAATGTATTTATAATATAAATAAATAATAAAATAAAATAAATACCTTGGATATGAAGGGGATCCTGATTCTGGTGTATGGCTTAATCAGCTTGAGTAACACTTGACTTCTAATGTTTTTCAGAAGATCTTCAATGTAATTTCTGATAAAAGGATCATCCATGATTGTTCTCCACAATATACAATAATTATCTCATAAAGTGAATGTTTGGTGGTTTCTGTGCATGTTTTTAATAAAAATCGTTTAGAATACATAAATAAAGAATGATTGTTTGATGTAAAAAAGTGTAACCTTATGGCATTATATATTGCATAATGGTGTTAAAAGTCGTGATGCCTTGTTTCATCAAATGTTCATAAAGTTTGTGGCACTATTATAATTTATATGCTTATGTTCTTATAAGAAAAATTACGTATTAGTGAACACAAACTATGGATTATTAAAGTGGTTGAGATTTGAAAATTTGAAGGCATCACATGTTATGATGTTAATCATGATTAATGACCTTATATATAAATTATTCAAATTACTACCCTTGTCTTTGCATTCTAATAAAAACAACATATGATAATGTGATCTAGAATTAATCACATCTAATTCATATATGAATTACATGTGATTCACATGTAAATCATATGTAATTCACATATGAATTACATATGATTTACATGTGAATCACATGTAATTCATATATGAATTACATGTGATTCACATGTAAATCATATGTAATTCATATGTGAATTACATATGATTTACATGTGAATCACATGTAATTCATAATTTATATATGAATTACATGTGATTAATTCTAGATCACATTATCATCACATGTGATATATATGTAAATCATGTGATATATATGTAAATCACATGTGATATATATGTAAATCACATGTGATATACATGTAATTCATATATAAATTACATGTAAATCACATATGAATTACATGTGATTCACATATAAATCACATATGTATTTTTGTGAGTGTTTTTGCATCAATCAATTTCTTTTTAATTTTCTTGTAGATTTGGAAGAAATGGTGGTGAATATTGAAGAGGTGAAGATGATAAATTGAAGAAAAATATGGAAATATTGACACGAAGACATAAAAACGCTTTGAAATTTTGTACATTTTTTTGTTTTTAATATTTTTTGTATCGAATAAAATACTTATTATATTGTGTTTATAGATTGGTAAATAAAATGAGTTTTTTTATGATCTACTTACGAATATTATAGTATAAAAAATATGAATATATGCATTTGAAAAAATATGCATATATGCACCTAATTTTTTTTTTTAAATGCAGTTTTTTTTTGAAAAAATGTAACTTTCTTTAAAAAACTTGTAGTTTTTATTAAAAAATGCAGTTTTTTTTTAAATTGCAGTTTTTTTTGAAAAAAATGCAGTTTTCTTTAAAAAAAATTGCAGTTTTTTTGAAAAAAAATGCAGTTTTTTTTAAAAAAAGTGCAGTTTTTTTTTTTTTTTTTAAATTTCAATTTATTTTTTTCAAAAATACATGTTTTCTATAAAAAATTAAAAAATTTGCATTAAAACAAAACACGAAAAATACTATTTTTAAAAAAATCTAAAAATTTGATTTATGATATAATTTTTTAGACATTTATATTAATATATTAAATAAAACAAAAAAAATTAAACATTAAATGAGATTGGTAAGATGACGATCATGTCCTTAACGAATTACTTTTGATCCAACGCTCCACTTTTAGTTCTCGGGTTCTCGGGAAACTTTGAGTTCTCAACCGATCTCAACCCTATATATATATATATATATATATATATATATATATATATATATATATATATATATATATATAAAGAGAGAGATACGGAGCAAGTGAAAGAGATCAAGGTATCCGATCATAAGATAGTAGAGAAGGGTTAGACAGGTCTTTGTGGTGCAATTGGGATTTCTCCTGCTGCCGTCGATCGTGTATAAGGGAGAGAAGAAAAAAACAATGGTGAAGAAGAGTCTTAGGGGTGGATGATCTCAAGTCTAGAGAGGGGTCCATGGGATTTTCTTTTGTCTGCAATAAAGGTTTTGAAATCGGAATCAATTGGTAAAAGTCTCGGTATCCACTCCTTAATATAATTATATTTCAATTGCTAGTGTTTTGGAATGAATTATGAAGTTGGATTCTTCCCTATTGACTCGATTAAGCTATTACTTTCACTTCAATTTGTTCGAATCCTTGTCTGGTCGAATTCCAAACCATAATGGGTGTGTCCTTGATTTGTTTTTCCTATGGAAATCTTTCTAAAACACTCCCATATAATTTAGTATTGGTGCTCAACTATTGGTTGGAATGATGAAGTCAAAATTGTTTTCTTCATATTAAGTTTCTTGATTCTTTTTATCTCAAATTCGTGTGGGTAATTTCCTACATAAAATTCATGTTTTGAGCACTTTTTAAGACTCTCAAAACAACCTCTAAAGGCCTTGATATGTGGTTAATTATGATGTAGTTTTCACTAGCAAAGGTAATACGACGCGTTCCGAGGTGTGAAGTGGGAGAGAGGGGATGTCATAATTGGGGTTTTGAATAAGACGACCTTTTGATTTTATTTTGCATTTTTTTTTCATATTGAAAAATTATGAAGAACGGATGTCAAATATCTACCTTAAAGGTTATCACAACTCTTGGTTGTATTACTTTATGTTTTTGGTCTCGAAAAGCAAAAATTAGGAGATGAAATAACAACCTTGAATGCCACATTATGAGTTTCTAAAGGCCACCCAAATTTCCATCTCAACATGTGTCTTGATTTGGAACTTAAAGGAGTCTTGATTGGCAAGTGTAGAATTTTGTGTTTGGTGTGGTAATGGCATCCTAATTTCAATCACCTTGTAGTCAACTCTTTGGTCTTTTCATTATCACTCAAAGTATATCTTATTACCTCCGATCAAGATTAGTTGGGTGACAGATGGAATAATTCTAAGTCCTTTTCCTTAATCTTGAAGTTTTATGGTGATGTTGGTAAAGATTTCAAAACTAGACATATTTGTTTATCTGTCTTGCAAGACCCGTAGAGGCCATTGTGGTATGCATTAGAGAAAATACCAAATGTATAAAGTTGTAGGAAATCAAGTGTAGTTTGTAGAAATCTCGATACCAGTTCATTTGGAGTTGTACATTCTGTTTTATGCTTAACACACTTAACATGAGTCAGGATAGTAAATTATATATATATATATATATATATATATATATATATATATATATATATATATATAAGTTAGCATTAAATTTTTATTTTTGAAACATGTACTTTCTTTGTCAATTTCTTGTTATGTGTGGTTTTTAGGTGAGGCCTTGAGAACTTCAAGTAAGTTCAAGACTTGGTGTACAAGGAGAGTTTCTTCAAGGCTAAAGGTGATTTTATAGTTTTAACTCACTAAGGTTGCATAACTGAAATGTGCAATCAGTAGAAGGTGATTCGATACACAATTGGATGACCTTATCATTTCTTATGCTCGATGATGATATGATATTTGTGATACTACCAAATGCATTGCACTACTTCCATATTATGATTTATTTGTTATGATGCTTTAAAATTGATGAATTTGATGCATATGACAAGCTAGTTTTTGGGTATGAGTCGATAATTTTCTTAACTTTAGTGCATGACCGAGAACTAAATCTCATAACTGGATTATCGATGCAAATTAGGATTATGCTAGAATTGCTAATGCTTGCTTGGTAAATCCTATTGTTTGCACATTGCTAATGCCTTGGTATTTGTTGATATGATGCTACATTTAGTATGTGCTAGTTGAATTTTCTTGCAATGAATATGCCTAATGAAATCAACGGTCATATGTTATGCTTGATTGATGGTATCATTTTATTACATGCTATATTGCTTGAATTGATCGATCATCTAGCATGCTCATTTTGAATTAAAGTTTATTTTGTAGGGTATAAAGGTATTATGGGTAAAACCTTGCAAGTCTATATGTTTGAAAGAGCTTAAGCCATATCGATTGTGAGTTGCACGGTCTTTCTAGATGGTCGTGTGACATGTGGTTCGCGTGCACCTTGGTGTATGAGAACTGGAGTGGTGATGACTTTATGTTGTGGACGGATCAAGCATCGTGTGGGAATCGGGAGGTGTAAGCACTGTTTGTACCGATCCTGACACCACGAAGTACTTGTACTTTGCAATGTCGGAGTAGCAAATGTGGAGTCTCGGGGTTGGTGTTTCGGGTGGAAGTCATGAGCCACTTAGAGCATTCGACTGGACGTGCACACAGGTAATGAGCGGGTTGTTTCTCTTGGGTTAGGTAGCACGAAGGGACACTTACTATCATACGGTTGGATATACATAATAAAATGTTGAATCTATATAACAAAAGGTTGATTATATAATAAATGGTCGGATATATAACAAATATTTGGTTATTTGGTAATAGATTGAATAAATAATGAAAGGTTGGTTGTATATGAAATGTGATTGTTTATATGGTATGTGGTTGTCTATATGTTATATGGTTGATCATATGTGTTGTGTGGTAGAATTATGGTTTAACATTTATAGATGTATGTGTTTCAACATGCTAATAAATGATTCTGATATGTGGTTGTTTGTTAATTGGCATTTGTTTCTCATTTTTATGCTTCATCATAAAATGAATGATTAACCCATTTGGGGTTTGTATGTTTTTATAAAACCCTTATGAACTCACTCAGCGGGGTCTGACACTTGTGTCTTTTCTTTTTGTGCCTCATGGTTGGTGCAAGCAACTTCGGAGTTTGGCCTTGGTGAGAGGGGTTACTTATAGGGTATTTATGCTAATTAGATGATACCATTTTAGACATGTTTGATGTTTTATCATATTGAATATTTACTATTGTTATGTCTTAAATGGCTTGAAATTATGATTTTGATTTTGAAGTAACATGGGGATTTGAAAATGCTCTAAACTAAATCAATAAGTCTTCCGCTAATGTATTCTGTTAAAAAGTGTTTAAAATTAAAAAAATGTGGTAAAAATCACAATGTTACAACAAAGGACTGCTGGAACTTGGCCTGTAGGGCCCTTTCACCCGCTAAGCAGAGTTCGAAGACATGAGAGAAGTTTGTTCAGATGTTCAGAGCTGAGTAAGTGTCACCAATGGAGAGATAGCGGCTGGACCATAAGTGTCTATCGCTCCAGTAGAAGAAAAAATCGGTGACTGAGATTACCAAGATGTTCACCGAGAGGGCCCTTTTTTCCTTAAGCATGCATCTTCAGACACATGCAGATGTCCCGATACTTGAGCATGTTTAAGATGGAGATTAGGGAGTTCAAGGCGAACATCTAGTACCAGACCTTGTCTGAGCTACACTTATATGCCAGGAGGACAGAGGTGAACATCCAATATCGAACCTTGGTTGAGCTACATTTACATTCCAGGAGGAGAGTGATTGAGTTGGAGTCGTATAAAATGGAGAAGAGGTTGGCCCCAGTTCAGCCATAGTCGAAGACTAAGCGGTTTAAGCTCATTGATGTGAGATCATGAGGACAGAGAGGTCGTACTTGCAACAAATGAAGGAAGGTTCACGAGCATCCCGGTCAGGGATGGATCAAGTGCCACAAATATGGAAAGGAGGGAACTATGCTATGGATTTTCCATAGAGTATGAGTGTTTATTTTAGTTGCAACCAGATGGGCCATTTTATGGCGGATTGTCCACTACTAGCAACTAGAACATATCAGACTCCAGCTCTAGTGACTTTGCAGATCACTGATGAAAACCAGGGAAGGGTTGAGGTCTCGAAGGCCAAGGATCAGGCTAACTTCAGAGGAGTCTAGGGCAGAGCCTGACATTGTTATTGTTATGTACTTATTTATCATTATGTCAAATATTATTTATGGTCTGCTTATGTTTATGTTTCTGCTTAAGTACGTTTCTAGAAACTTAGTTCCTACTTTAGTGTTGTTTTATTTGGGGGTGAGTCGATCATTTGTATCATCTTCTTTTAGTAAAGTTATTCATGTTGATCTTGGAGCATTGAATTGTTCCTTGGAGGTTTCCATTGCCAGTGATCATATTGTTTCCGCTACGAGTGTCTATCGTGGTTGCATGTTTGTGGAGTTTTCAATTGATCTCGTACCCATTCTGATGGGTGATGTTTGTGTTATCGTGAGTATGAATTGGTTGAGCCGATTC